ATAAAAAAATACCTCAAAGAAGACTAAGTCAGCTTAAATTACCCAAAAATGTTTCACTGGTTTTCACATTTCTCATTTGTTCATAAACTCTCTGATCTAATGGGAAACTTCTACTGTAATTGGAGAAAATATTAAGTCTGTTACAAAAAAAACGACATTCACAACACAAGGTAAAATGCAATTGTTCACAGCTACTACTAAATATCTACAGAAGTATACAGTTTGGCACCAAGACCTAGGCTAGTAAAAGGAAATGACAAATACAAAATGTAAAACACATAAAGTCTGTGGGAAGTACTAAAAATATACAAAGAATTATGTAAATTTACAAATACTTAAAATTAAGAAAATGTTTTACCAAAGTTAGCTTAAAAGATGCTAACCTAATCGTCGGTTGGCTAACTTTAGCTCAATCGAATATTTCCCTATCAATCTAAACTACACACATATTTATCTATAAACAAGATTCATATCTACATTTAAAAAGGATTATCTGGTAAATTTAAAATATAATTTGGCCCCTTTAAAAGTGTTATTTTTGGATGTTACTATCCCATTTACACCATTCATTGCTTTGTATTGGATTATATTTATAATCACTTAAGTAGTAGTTAGAATTGAGGAACAAACAAACTTAGTAATGGATTCATGAATCCCCAATCCTGAGGTTTATCAAACACCCACACAGATACCAGCAGGCAGAGACACACAAAATTCACAAATTTTAGCTGTAATGCGGAGGAACACGTGAGCAACATAAATTATCAAGCAAGTCAAATGAATAATTATGTTTTTATTACACAAATTATGCCCTTTCCCCTAAACTAGTCAGGCTCTGAGGCCTGGGAAATCTATTAAGGCTGTGCTATAGATCATCCCATCCACTGTGGCGTGTATATAGATCGGTCGGCTCATTTGAGGAATATTGAATCGGTTACAGTAAAGTAAGCCCCTGGATTGAGTCAAATGTAAAAATCCATGCATGTGTAAGGAGCTGTCAGCGTGTGCTGTAATGACGGATGGCGCTGGGTCTCTGTTTCAGCGAGAGGTGATAAAAAGTCAAATTATGAGTGCTGGGGAGGGACAAGAAAGTGTGGGGGAGCAAAGACAGAGAAAAGAGAATTGGACCAGATCCGTCAAATGATAAGGGCAATCAGTCAATCTGGGAATGGTTTGGACGATGGAAAGTGTTATTTCCTCCCAGTGGGGTTTGGAGTCAAGGGTCGGTGAGGGGTCAAGAGTACGACCCTTCACCTTGGGCTAGTGAAGAGTTATTGATTCATGGCCTCCACAGTTTACCCATGTTATTATCTGCTGGAAATGATTGGTTTCCAATTGCAGTGATCTGCAGTGAAAGTACTTTAACACAAAGGAGTGATAAGCAATTGATTAGCCGGTACAAATCTTTCTTTCTATAAAAAAAATTGCCTATGATCTGAAATTTGAAATCTTCCTCCACTGTACAGACATGTACTCAACATGTGTTTCTTTTGAGAAAACATGCAGTTTTTTGTTTTGTTTTTTACAAAATGAGAATGGAAGAGAAAGAAAACACTTCTTTAAACAGTGAACAAATTCCAATAAACCACTATTATTATTATTCACACAACCTCTTACACTTAATAGAACATTTTGTGGTCTTTGCATGAGGCTCAGCTGTGTTCTGCATTTAGGTTTGTACCATACATCAACAGATCATCTTTCTATTTTGAAAAAAAACTTAATATAATTTCACTAATGCAGGCGTGTGCATGCAAAATGTTCCACAGTCAAAAAGTTAGGAAGTTCCCGTCACCACGATGGCCAAAGTTGGTGTAAAACTATGAATGAATGAATAATTGTTCTAATAGTTCTGTAACAAACTGTATTACAATTTACAAATTTACATGTATATGAAACCCCCGTAGGCCAAAAACATAATCTGAACACACACAAGATTTATAGTTTGACTTTGCTCTACCTGCTGAATTAGCTGGATTACCAAAAACACATAGACAAAGTCTCTGGTAGCATCTGGGCTCATCCTGACATCTTCTCTACTGTTCTGCTTTCTGTCTCAGGAGCATCAAACAGAGCCACGGACCCCCTACCAGGCCGACCCCCACGCCGACCCTCCCTTACACGCTCTGAGACTGACCCGCTCTGAGGTGTGAACTTCTGTCCCCCAGCTGATAGAGCCTCCTGATCATTTTTATAGGCCCCATCCCTCGCTGTTTATGACTCTGCAGTTTGATTATAGCAAAGGGGGCTTGGAGCGGTAAGAACCCTGGAGAGGCATACACACACACAATCACACACACACACACACACACATCAAAGAAACTATGGGAGGAATGTGGACATTTGTTGTTTGTTTTATCATCCAGTACCAGCACTTATCTGCGTAATCATAAAGGATTGGCCTGGGAATGAGGCAGTAGGGACCCCAACGCTATAATTGTTACTGGAGGGATGAGCCCGGTTCGTTTTGGTTATAGCAGCTTACAAGGTACATGGGAGTTTTATTTGAAGAGAGAGCAGAAGAAACAGTTTACTTTAACATTACAAGTCCCTGCAAAGGACAAACTGTTGCTGTTACGATAAAGACGCATCAGAGTGCAGCTAGTCCATTATTTATGCTCCTTAACATTACATTTTAGTTTTTTTATTGGATTGAACAAATAATCAGTAAGAGTAATAATAATGTGCTCTTGCAAAAAATTATTGATACACTGATATATAATAATACAGTTGCACCAAGTATCATTGCTTCCATAGGGCAGCAACTACAGATAATTCTCATCATTGATTGATTGATCAATTAATCGAGTGGTTCAAAAGTAATGGAAAAATGCCCCTCACATTTTCACCTGCAGGTGATGTCTTCACATTGCTTGTATGGTTGAACAAACAATCCAAAACCCAGAGATATTTAATGTACAATAAATTACAAGAGAGAAAGGCAGCAAATCCTCATGTTTGAAAACCTGAAACCAGATTTTTTACAGACACATAACTTCTGGAACTGTGTTGTTTTCTGGCACTTTTATTTTACTGTTTTTACTATGACTAATTAAATCATGGTACAAACACGCTCCTGTTAAAGGACCTGATGCCCTCAAGGAAGTATTAACGCATAATGTACAGATTCCAGTTTTTCAACCATTTCCTGTTTAATATGTAGTCCTAATGGCACCACGGCTATCTTCCCATCCAATTCTGTTTTACATGCATTAAATGTTTGTTCTCCTAAGGTCTGACAGAGGTTGGAATACTTTTTTCTAAGTCTCACATATGCATCCCACACCTCTGCTGGCGCACCAAAGTGACTGAGCTGTAGTTACAGTGTGTGAGATACACAACACTTTAATTAAGTCACAGGACCCCCCCCCCTTTTCTTTCTCTAGACCTGTGAGTCAAACAGACTCTCTGCCCTTCGTTTCCCCCTGTGTGGGAGGCCAGTGTGCTGGCCTGAGTAGCTGGGAAAGTCCCATGATTTATGGCCCTTTGCAGGCCTGACTGCCTCTCACCTCCTGATGATAGAGCCAGAGGTAACGAGGACTGGTTGCTCCAATCCACTCTTCTATTTGGTAAATCCAATTTTATTCATTTGGGATTTAAAGGGACGTCCCTGCCTCTGCCATCTGATGCTATTGGAAGTTTCAATTGGAAAGATTTATCAGAGTACTTCTATGTGTAATTGGGTATATTTTTTACAGTTTGGGTGATAATCACATGGATTAGATGTTAATGATTAAGCACTCCAAAGGGTGAGAAGGGGGCATTTTATTTTCAGTCTCACATGGTAGACTTTCATTTCCTTATTCATTACTTTTTTTCTCTTTTGATGTATGCTCCATAGAGCCTTGTAAAAGTGTTGGATGCGTTTGCGGGAACCAATTGAGAGCAGCTTTAACTGAATAATGGTAGATCTTCCTTTTTTCAGTTTGGATTAATATTTACCTTGTGACTCTTTGCCCCGGTCAAGTGTCCCACACTGCTGTATCAACAATATTCAAATGTACTGTAGCAGAAAACACACTACCACATAAGACGAAAGCACATAGTGAGGGCTGGATCATTATGAGGGCCATTTGGAGGCTTTCTGCACTTGTTTCAGTCTTGATCGGAGGATCAAGCAGCTCTGACATATTAAAATCAACCAACCTTACATACATAGAGGGACACACACGAACACACACACCAGCAGCAGCAGGGCAGTAACTCAAGGCCAAAGGAGGAGGTTTATTTTTATCATGGGCAAAGGCGCCAAATCATGTTGGTATGAAGGGGGCTATATAAATGCAAATTGTATTGGAGAGCTATTAGTCCTGGAAAAGGTTTGTATGTAAATGCCCTATAGGACCACAGCGGAGCACTCGGCCAGTTCAGATTAGTGGGGTTTGTGGCAAATGTGCTGCAAAAGACAAAATAGAAAAATAGACAGAAAATGCAATTGCCTTGTGGTAAATCATGGTGAACAAGGTGAGAAGCTGAGTAATTGAATGGCCAAGGTGTTTCTGTATGGTTTATTGTGTATGCAAGAGACATGTATTAAGGTCGGTTCACTCTGTGCATGTGCAAGTGTTCATGTTTTATGGTCATTTTGTTCACGATACAGATTTTTTCTGTACCTCAGCAGAACATAACGTGGCCATAAGCAGCTCTGCGAACATGTGAATGAGCGGAATTTTGAAGCATCACTAAATGAATTACTTCTGAATAATGGCTGCCTTGTTTATGGCCTTCAATTTGTTTGTCAATAGAAAATACTATATTGACTGAAGGGGGAAAAAATGGTGATTATGAAATGAACAAATCAAATATGGCACATGAGGCCACATCATTCATGGAAAGTAGAGGATTTAATCACCGAGCATTAGGCTGTGAGAGACAACACTAGCGCAAGGCCGCCCTCTAGCTTTAACTGGAGAGACTCACAGGCATAAAACGCCTATCAGAAAAGAATCCATCCATCCATACGAAATACAGAATTTTTATTCAGACAGTCAGTGCCTACATACCCTCACATTAAAAGGACCACATTACAAAACAAGTTGTGTGCAGAACCAGCATTTTGAACAAAACAGCTTTATATATACAGTATATACATTTCAAGATATGCATTGACAGGGTTAAGAGGTTCAAATACAATCACTCTATTGACAACTTCTACTTATAAAATGTTTTTATACTGCCAAGTAAAGACAGAATGGCAAAGTGATAGTTTCCTAAAAAATATAAATAATGACACATTCTGTCACCTCTTTGTCCTGGACTTAAAGTGACTGGGTGGGTCGAGTGTAAAGTGCAACTGCAGTTCTTCACAGATTTCTCGCCTTCTGAATTATTTCTTCCGTAATGTTATATTCCTACAAACCCAGGTCATGCCATCCTGGAAAAAAAGCAGACAATGTGGTTGTGTCGTAAAAATTAGTGAGGTGAAATTGATGTGAGCAGCAGCTTAAAAGTACGTTTACAAGCCACAAACCATAGTTTATAGACAGAATATATAGACATCCTGTTTGACAACTACTTTAAATTAACCAATACAATTAGTCAAGAAATGTGAAATCCTACTTAAAGTGAACGGTTATCCCTAAAGCTGTTATAAATTCAATGATGTATAGTATGTTGACTGGCAAACAACAATAATGTTTTAATAATATTGTCTTACTGTGGCTGGTGATGACATAGTTATAGGCTGAATCATTTGAATACATTTGGTGGAGACATAACTGCAAAGCTTATTTGGTCTTTAAAAGGATGATGATAACTTCTGACATCTAATTTGGTCAATTTTACAAATAGTGTATAGTCGGAGCATTGAGAATTATAATTAGGTTATAATTCTGTGGGTATAACAACAAACAAAGAGCTGTTTTACTGTTTAATTTAGTTTAATTTCATGTGATTTCCCAATGTAAATTTGAATAAAGCAGTCAAAGACAATATTCTGAGAGTTCTCAAACTAAATGCAAAGGCAGTTGGTGCCACTCTGCAGCCCACCCTGTCATCACATTGTTGTGTATTCATGCTGTGTTTGCAGACTGTGCGTACTGTATTTACCTGCACTCCCTCAGCAGTAACTGCTGAGCAGGCCTGGACCTGCCACATGCGATCCCGGATAGTGTGCAGATTGAGACCTTCTGCCAGCTCCGACGCTGGCGTGGCTGTCATCAGATCCTGTTTGTTGGCAAAGATTAGCAGTGGCACAGCAGCAAGCTTTTCCTCCTCCAGCAACTCAGCCAGCTCCTGGAGGAACAGACACACGAGGGTAGTCAGTGACGTGTACTGGCTAAGTTAAGTAAAACTGTACTGACATGCTGTGATCATCATCTGTAATTATCTATGATCAACTCAGAATGTTATCTAGTAACTGTATATGACCACAATAAAAATATTGTGTTAGAATATTATGTAAAGGACCAGTATGTAGGATTTAGTGGCATCTAGGGGTGAACTTTTCTGAAAGCTCAGCCTTCCAAGCTTGTAGGAGAAGCTACAGTGGCTGTGAAACCTGTGAAAAAAGCTAAAGGCCCTATCTAGAGCCTGTGTTTGGTTTGTGCGTTCTAGGCTACTGTAGAAACAAGGCAGTTCAACATGGTGGCCTCCATGGGAGAGGACTCACTTCCTCTGTAGATAAAAACAACTCATTCTAAGGTAACAAAAACACAATGATCCTCATTTTCAGCTAATTATATACACTAATGAAAACCTATGAATATTATGATACATTTCTCCCAATAGATCATCCTAAATGTTACACACTGGACCTTTAAAGAAAATAAATTGCATCTCACCAGACTTGTCTCTTCAAACCTTTTCCTGTCTGAGCTGTCGATCACATAGATCTGCAAATAACACAGTCATAGATATAGATAGAGATAGTTCATAACATGCATAAAATACTATATCATCAGGACTATTTGTGGATGTTGTTGACTTTATTTCATTGTGGCTGTTGTAAGTACATAAAAGAGAGCCTACCAGTACATCTGTGTTCTCAAAATAATTCCTCCAGTAGGGACGGATCTTGCGCTGACCTCCAATGTCCCAAACATTCAACTTGAAGCCAGACGATTGAACGCTCTTTATATTGAAGCCCTGTTGAAAGATAACATAGATTATTGTTTATTTAATACTTTCAGCAGGTGAATTAAAACATGATTTGGAAAATCTGTTTTATATGGAACCGTTGTTGTAACAAAACTATATACAAATCTCAATTTGTGTGTGCAAAATCAGATTTGTAGATGTGTACAAGAATCTGTAAATATGTACAAAAAGTTGTGTACAGTAATCTGCAAATGTGTTCAGAATATGTGTGTGCATAATCAGATTTGTAAATGTGTAAAAAAATCCACAGATCTGTATTCAGATTTGCAAATGTATTGAGATTTGTAAATATGTAGACAAATTTGTAAATGCGTATCTGAAAATGTGTTGACAAATCTATAAGTGCAGACATACATATTAACGACTCACCCTAACCTCAAACCTAACCCCTACCCTTAACCCTAACCCCCTAAGCAGGGTTACGGCAGGGTCAAACCCGGCAAGAAAACAATCTTGGCTTCCCTGTCATCAGACTGGCCTCCATTTGACTTGGAGGCTGTCACCGAGAGTTGAGGCAGAGAGCAGTCAGAGGACATCAGAGGGGAAAAACTGGTCATATTTTCTCCATAAAATATGATCTACTTACACCAAAATCAGTGAAAAAAGCCTAAAGTTGTGTTTTTGTACAGTAATCAGTGAGACCTGTCCATCCATTTAATCTATTTTCTAACCTAATTCTTGACTCATTTGTGGTCTGATAAACTCATTAAGGAATTAATAAATTCATTAACTTCAGTTCCCCATATTGCTATTTTCCAACAATAAATCTCCCCTCACACAAATGGCCACACGCATTTGCAGATCTCTACAGAAATGCAGCAAAAGTCACGTGTAAAAAGAGCCAATTGAGAGTCCTGTCTGAGTTGTAACCGATGAATTGTCTGTATTTCCAGCTCTTGGAGCAAATACTTTGGTGTACACATTTTAAGATCTATAGACGCATTTACAGATTTGTGTATACATTTACAGATTTCTCCATGCTTTCAGATTTATATACACATTTACAAATCTCAGTACATTTATAAATCTGAACACAGATTTTACAAATTTACAAATCTGATTGGATTGAGATACTGTTGCACAACTCTCTGCTGCAATAATGGCTCCACAGTTTTACTGGAAAGTGAAAAAATGTATTTCCACAGTGTGTGACTGAGCTACTGGATGTGTGTGAGTGTGTCCATATCTGTACTTGTGTGGGGGTGATCTGGCTGATATCTTCGGCTGCCAGCTGTTTCAGCAGAGTAGTCTTGCCAGCATTGTCCAAGCCAAGCAACAGTAAGCGCACCTCCTGTTCCGGAGACTGCTTCAGCCTCCGAAGAATGGACAACAAGCCCTGCAGGTGGATCAGTCAGAGGTGATAAACTTTAGTGAGAGAGGTTCAAAGACAACATGTCATAGGGAAACCTGCAGGAATTTTCTCACAATATTGTTACAGAAGCATGGCCTAAGCTGTATTAGGTAAAGCAGTCAGTCGTCAGATGCCAGCATGATGTCAGGGGTTGGTAGAGGAACCCGGCACAGCTTGAACAGGTTTAACACTCACCCCACAGCAGGAATCAGAGCGTGAGGATTTAGCTGTTAGTCACTTGCAGTTACCTGCACATGCAGCAGGCAAAGAGCTCTTATTGGCCAAGATTAGGCATGTGCACACTGTGTGTCCTGAAACTGGTAAGCTATTTACCTTGCAGTGTGTTCTGTTAAGATGTTGTCACTGTTCTTTGTGACCTGCAATATGTGCGGTGTGGAATCAAGAAACAACTGTTTATCTCTGTCAAATATACAATGAAGAAGATAAAGTAATAATTTCAACACATTTCAGTGCACACATTTAAAGATGGTCTTAAAACTCACTTGATTTCTTGATAATGTAAGTTTTTTATTTGTGGTTTGTCCACTTTGTCTTCTCGCTTTCATAATTTTCCTCTGTCTCTCTTCTCTTTTCTTTGTCCTGTAAAACTACTGTTTGTTTGCGCTAAAAGGAAGCCTGAATAGCTGAGAATAAATGATCCCCAAATGAGAATAAAATATTGTTTAAATATAAACTTGTAAAACCAGATATTTGAACATCGATGAAATGCTGAAATACAAATGCTATTTTCAGTGACAACCCACAGTGTCATTATCAGTATTAACCAATTGTTGACATTGTTTTGATGGTGGCAACTTTCTAAAAACTCTTATCTATAGCTATCTTATCTAGCTGTTAGTTAACAGTTTCCAGTATCACACACGCCATTAAACAGCAAACTATAACAACACAATTTAAAACTGTCATGTTCTGATTTTAAGGCATGAATCGTGATAACTCACCATGTTTTTGCTCAGGTGTTAGTGTTGTGGTCCCCTGCTCAGACTGAGTGGATTAACATCTCTCCCTCTGTGCCTCTTGGGAGAACAGCTGTCAAGTTCCGTTGCTAGGGAAACAGTGACGTCAGCACAAACAACGTGACAGCTGGGTGTATCTGGGCACCCTGCAAAATATGAGCTCAAAAATATTTGTATATCTTCTTCAGAAATACAGAAAAACTCTTTTTTATATTTGATTACACATTTTTAATAGCTGAATTTATTTCGGTTGCTCTTTAAAGCACTTAAATCACAGTGCTGTAAATAAACTGCATAGTTAGCTATACTTAGTATAGTAGTATAGTACTTGTTACAATACATTTTGTATTTCCTGGGAAAGTTGTTACAAATTCAGTTGCCATAATTTGTTAAAAACTACTTCATTTTTATGTGTTAAAGTTTAATTCAAGCAAATAATAGATTATGGAAAGCTTTGATTATGAAAGAGATCTTACAGTTTTGTGTGTTGACAATTGCTGATCCAAGCGAGTTATTAAAATATGTTTTTAATTTGTGATTTAACTTATTGAACTTGAACTATATTCAGATTTGCAGCATGTCTTTACTAATCCAAGACACAGGACACAAATATATAATAATTCTGAACACTACAGTTTGGTGTAATGCTGCTCTGCCCGGTTACAATTGGCCATTAAAAGAAGAAGAGGAAGAGGAAGAAGACTGAACTTGAACTTGCACTATGTGAAATCATGTTTTTTTCACACAGGATGCTCCAGTTGAATGGCCTGCTGAGCAGACACATCCGTTAGAGCTCCACCAACTCATTCCTGATGTAATTGTTCAAGACAAATACAATCCACTTTTAGTTTTCATTACTGTACTCAGCCTGAAATATGAACAAAAACAACAAACCTTCTGCTAGACCGCTAGCTCTGACAAATGGGACAGAGGAGACACAAAAGCCCACATTGAAAAGAAGCCCACAAAGTCCTAAATGGAGACTATAAAGGCTATAGATGCACTAGGAAAACGTGTGGAGCAGGTTGAGCCTTGAACTTGAACTGAATAGTGGTAAACTTCTGATTATGGGGCTTCTATTTCACGGTTTTCGATTCCACCTCCTTAAAACTTTTCTCTGCCAGTTACTGATATTTCTAATATTTATTTTCCTTCTTTTAATACAAGGGAACTCAAAGACTCTGATTTTGTAAGTGGTAGCTTCTGACCGCTAGCAGCTAACCAACATTTCTGTGAAGAAATCAAAACATTATTATTCCAGGCAATAAATGAATGAATCGATGAAACAAGGCATAATTAAATTATGTAATGTAAGACCTATCACTCTTTTTCCAGCAGTCTTGGCAGCAAGATTAAAAGAACAAATATTGAAAATCAGAATTCCTCAGAGGACGATCTATCCATAATAACATCTGCTTTGTTCTGGACCTCATGATTATGGTCACGTAATTGATGATGATGATGGTTTTATATTTTTCTTGGATTCCCAGAAAGCCTTTGACTAAGTTGAACATGTGTTTATCTTTGATACAATCACACACTTTGGATTTGGCAACCAGTATTTAGACATGGTTATTATGTTACACACAGACATGAACAGCTGTGTTTCCATCCAAGAAGACACCAGCCTCAGATTTAACGTAGGGAGAGGCATAAGACAGAACATAAGTTTAATTTCTTTTGAACCATAAGCATAATTACATTAAAAAAGCAGACGATGGGATTAAAGCCATAGATTTTGAAATTATGAATGGAATATTAAAAATGAAATGGCTTTAATCTTTTTTTAGGAATACTGAAAAGTAAATACTAAGTACCCTTTTAATGAGAAGAACTATTAATCTCAGAAACTGTGGAAAAACTGAAAAAAATTGCTCTAAGAAGAAATTTCCTTAAATATCCCCCAAAGAAATACATTTTAAACCTATAAAGTGTATTCTTCAAATGAATTCTTAAGAACAAGATAACTGCTGTAACCTATACAACACAACAAATGTAGAAACAACAGAGCGCCTGTTTTATACTTGTGATTCGATCCAAAGCCTATGTAGATCCATGCATGATCTATCTCCAAATCCATAAACATAGATTTATTTTTTTTTATTTTAATCTGTTCAATTTTGAAAAGTAAATAGATTGAATGTCTTGTTAATAATATTATAATTCTAACTAAATATTACATACATACACAAACGTCATTTTGCCAAATGTGTGGCAGACACTTAGAAAGGAGTTTGTGATATTAAATACATGTATAAGGAAAGTAAAAAATGCCCCTGCCAGAAAACTTTGTGAACTGGCAGTGACTGAATATGATTTATGCTCTTCTTATTGTTGTTGTTGATGTTTGCATTTATTATTACACTCTTTTATGTCATTGTGTTGACTAATATTAACATTACAGTGGGAGGTGCAAACCATGACGGGAAAAATAAAACATGTTTAAAATGGTACAAAGTGAGTTGTCATTCTATTTATCAATAAAGACAAAAACAATGTATATACCGGTATAATGTATGTATGTTTTCACACACGCATTCACAGCGCCCTCCAGAGTCCAATAGCCGACTCCGTTTCAGATTACTATTGGTGCTGTTTCTGAGTCAAGGAAACAAAAACATGTCCGTTAACTAGCAACAGCCACCGGCAGTCACCTCAACAAGTCGTCAATTCGACCGACTGCTATATGATTTCCATCGCGTTAACGGCCGACAACCCAGAAAGATGCCGCAGAAAGCACTGGGATCCATTGTAGGTCTTCTTTGTACCGGGACCTGTCTGGTGCAGGTAAGCCGCCACTAGCGTTCTCTGGGTCGGCTGACGCTTCCAGCCGAGGCCGCGGCTCCTGGGGTGGGTGAAGGCCTTCTGCTGATCCTTTTTGTCTCCTCCACAAAGGAAACTGGGCACGGTTCGTTACTGTTACTGCGGATGACGTCAGTTAGTCAAAGTTTTCCTTTTATTATTTCGACATTTAACTCTGCAGAAGATGTTGAGGGGTAACTCGAAGCGACACGGATGTGTTTTATTACTTCAGTTTCACAGTTTGAGTCAAGGGTATCAAGATTAACGTTAGCCGTGGCTAACTGGTACCCGGCAAATTGGCGTGTTAATTCACAGTTGTTTATTCTCTATCCGAGCTGGACAATCAGCCCCAGTTTGTGTAACGTTAGTTTGCTTCCCGGATAGAAAGGCTACTTTAACTTTCGTCAAAATAAGTTGATAATGATATAAAAACCTCGTATTGGTACTTAAGCAATTTAGCATTTTATCCGCATATTTATTGATTTACTGACATCGTCCGTTCGCCAGTGTACAGCAACCTTACCCTTATTGTTTTATTACCACATATTACTTATTTAAATGCACATTTTAAATGTATTTTATGCTCGTAATTAATACGTGTACTGTACCATTGAGAACAATTACGTATCAATGGCTGCTGGCCTTCCCGTCGCTAACCATTTAAATTTAATCTCGGCTGTATTTTGCCTGTGTAAACACAGTTAACTAACGTTTGTTGTTGCAGAAATGTGCAAACACAATAAGTGACACTAAAGTGACAAATGACAAAGGCTAAACAGATCCTAGAAATAGGCCATCCTACCAAGAGCTTGCTATGCAACTTGTGTGATTGAGTATTGACTCAAGAATTCACTTTGTGTACCTCTTGTGTGTATTTAAGGGGAAGGAGTTCTGTTTTGGGGTAAACAATGAGCAGTACCGCTGTGAGATGGGGTACTGCTGTGGAGAGACAGAGTGCTGCACCTACTACTACGAGCTCTGGTGTAAGTTGCAATTTATTTTATTTTTTTTTGTCTTCTCAATTTGTCACATATATCCTATAGTACCAACCTCTCAAACCTTGAGAGGGAGGGCTACTCTGTCTACTTGTATACGAACATCCATGTTTAAATAGACGCTTTGATAAACAGGGTTGAGCCAGTTTGAATTGCAGGTGTGGGAGCTGTTTCTTCTCTGGTTGTAGTATTAATACTGGCAGATCTATTTATGAGAGATCCACTGAAAATCTAAAAGTGCGACTCAGAAAAAGTTGACAAGGGTTTATGCCACCATTTTGGACACCGAGGATGAATGCCAAATGCAGAATGTAAGAAAAGGGAAGCATGGTGTCAACTCTAGCCTCTGAAGTTTTCTTTTTTCCTAATAAAAACATTAGATTATTTAAATGTTTCGATACAATGGAACTTCCTTGGAAGTGTTTTGAAAAAAGACCCCTGAGTGTTTCTTTGTATCCCATTCCTTTTGTCCAGTGAATTCTCTGTTTTGTAGATTTAATTGTCAAGATTTGTTTAATGTGTGTTCTTTTTTTCCTCCATCACTTTTACAAAAAAATGCCCAGTGATGATGATAAGATTACATTGAGTCTGTTCCCCCCCCTCGTAGGGTTCTGGTTGGTATGGACCTTGATTATCATGCTTAGCTGCTGCTGTGCCTACCGACACCGGAGGGTTAAGATGCGTCTTCAGCAGGAGCAACGTCAACGAGAGATCAGCCTCATGGCCTACCAGGGGGCCTCCAGCTCCTTCATTTCTCCTCCGCCGCTCAATCTAAGTGAGTGGTCTTCGTATTTGCTACGTGGATGATAAATATTCAGAGAATTTAACAGCCGTCCTACTTGCTTAATGTTTTGTTGTCATGCGTATTACTCTTTTGGACACTACTGAAACCTCATGTCCAGGTAAAGGGCAAGACTTTGAACTTTGCTGTCTGTACCACCAAGGTACAACGCAACATCCAAATTATAGCAGTGAACCTCGCAATGTTTGTCACTCAGATCCACAGGATATCCAAACTGTCCTTGGAACAGCTATTCTCCCCTCTTCCTGAATGAATCTGCCACCTTTCACAGAGAGAGAGAGAGAGAGTCATAACCTTAGAATTGGAGGTGTTGATCCTCATGCCGATCTTGTCATAGTCAGCTACAAATTGCCCGAGTGTGCATTGGAGATGATGGTCCGATGTTGCCAGAGGGACAGCGGTCAGCAGAGATGCCACCCTGATGTCAGTGGTCAGTCTGGACCTTGGCTGAAACTTGATATTGTGTCCATTAATATCACAAACAGGAAGTGGGACAAGGTGCACACTGGTGAGAATCAAGGGCCACAGCGAACAAGCTTGACTTAATGTCAAAAATGTGAACACAACTCTAACTGTGAGCGTGCACAGACGGTGACTCACACACCGGTAACATGTACTCTTAAAGCTCTTCCCGTCGGATATCATGCTGAACGTAGTATGAAGCCATTTCCAATAACTCGGGGTATGTTTTCGCTTACTTAGGCAAGCCCTCGAAGCACGTAACCCTTAACTTTTTCTTCATTTTAAATCTGTATTCATGTTTATTCTGTAAAAACATATTTTCTAGTTTTCCACTCATGTCTATCAATGATATGAGTATGAAGTGCTTATTTTGTGAAGTAGACAAGAAGAGAGGAATGTACACTATGTGCTGCAATTGAATAACAAATCATCTGTGGGACCAGCATTATCTTAAGGTGCCATCATTCTAGAAATGCTACCAGACTTGAATCCCAACGAGTGCTTAAATTAGACATATGGGAAAGTTCATCCTTAGTAGGCACACAAAAATGTTGCCCATGGTATTTTACATCAGTCATTATTGAAGCAGTTGCACAACCTCCATTAAGACATTTAATCAGAAACTGCAAAACACAATGATTAGTTGTTGCATGTGGACTACAGACATGGTCTCATAAACTGCAGGGACTTTGTTGTTTAAAAACAGATGTGCCTGAATCAGAGCTTTTTTTTCAATGTTTACTGACCTGTAAAGATATTTTATTATTATTGTTTTTATGGAGCAATAGCAAATCACTGTTTCGCAGATTCAAACGGAACTTGCCAAAGGTCTTTACATGATGAGATAAAACATATGTTTCTGGGACTGTCAGTGAGATGGGTTGGCCTATATAACACCAGATTAGAATAATTAGCATTGGGTATAAGAGTAATGCTCATGGATGTAGTGCTACAACTCTTCATTATTATCATTATCCATTCTGTTGATTATTTTCTCATTTAATTAATTCATTGTTTGGTCTGTAAAATATTGGTAAATAAAAGAAAATTCCCGGAGCCCAAGCTGACAAATTCTTGTATAGTCCAACCAGTAGGTCAAATAGAAATACATTAATAATGGTATCATAGAGGACTAAGCAGCCTGAGAAGCTGAAACCAGTAAATGTTTGGCATTTTAGCTTAAAAAATGACTTCTAATGACAGGACAATAGCTTTTCGAGTAATAATTTTCAGTAGATTGACTAATCGATTGAACGACTAAATGGATGAACTGCCTTTATGGGGATTATGTTTTAAAGCTAAAGCTTTTGTATTCGCTGACTTTCAGGGTTCTGGAACGACTGTAAGCTTCCTGACTATGAAGAGGTGGTAGGTCACCCCCCGACACCACCCCCTCCTTACTCTGAAAACCCTCCCGAGACTACTCCTGCACTCCCTCCACAATTGAACCAGCCAGACGCTGCCATGGTGCCACAACCGCCGGCTGAGGCCGACCCGAGGGCGGACGGTCAGGCCTCAGCCTCATCATCAGTCCAGGAAGCTGTGTCGGTGCCGATTCAAGCACTGTGTCTGCCAGAGGAGAACGTGCAGGCTCCGTTGATGGCGGCGGCGGAGGAGGCAGAGGAGGACGAGGAGCTCATCACGCGGCGTCGCCACGTGACTGGTGACTCTGGGATCGAGGTGTGCGTTTGCCAGCTGGACGTAGACGACGGCTCAGGGCTCGAGGAGGAGAGCGACGAGGAGCAGCGGATGTGCAAGGTTACTGGTCGGGACTGCTGCTCCGGGCACCAGCAGCAGACCTTCAGACAGAAGGAGCACACCTCTGAGCTGCCCAGCCAGACCGCCAGCACCAGCACTGGGGACCACATGGTGTGATCCACAGCCCAACTAACCAGCCAACCAGTGTGGCTTTCTGCTTCACACAGGGTGATACAAGATATCCGTTGCCATCATCACCACCACCAGGGACTGCCTGTGTTTTAATTTCTTTGAACTAACACATAGGCATGACGTTAAGAAGATGATGATGATGATAGCTAATTCTTAATGGCTCCTGATTAAGAAAGACGAATAACGCATTGTGTGGACAAAACTCCTGGCTTATTTTTTTTTTTGGCTTTGTTTTTCCTTAGCGGGGAAACCAGCAAACACATTTTGATGCTCCATTTGCTATGTTTTGTTTTTTTTTTCTTTTTTTTTTTCTTAGCATCAAGTGAGAGAATGTCATCGGGTAGTAAGAAGGCAGCAATTGATTGTGAATGAAACCCCTTGCTCCTACCCTTTCCTTGAGCACTGCTGTCATGGTTCTGTTTCTGTCTCAACACCCTCCTTTGGTCAGAACATTTTCGGCCATCCTTCATCTGACATTTTAGCTCCGGTGGGATGGTTTGCTAGGAGCATACCAGCACGGTCAACAACATTTCTCCCCCTATCCCCGCTATGAATAAGCAGAGGAGTCAAAAACAAACCGCTTGAAAACTAAGGATGATCCTGGATGAATTGACAAGAGCACACATTTTGTTTTTTCCCCCCAAAGCTGCATATGTGTGTGAGAATTCGTGTGTGCGCTGTGAAATATAGGGCACAGCTGCATGGTGATGTCAGCTCTGAGGTCATGGCAACCAGCGTCTGGTGTCCTCTGGTGTAAAGTCGGTGGGACTTGTCACATCTAGAGTAGGGAGACTATATACAAATAGCAGAGGAGAGAGAAAGGGAAGAGTTTGTTATTTTTTTTTTTTCTGGGTTTTAAATGTCATACACCGCCCCTCTCCTCCTAAAGGCCCTTTTTTTTTCCTTTTTGATATCCATACTGTGGTCACCAATTCAACATGACTGTAGGTAATGAGTGACCGGCTTTTAATGATTTATTGATTGTGCGCACATGATCTCTCCACTTCGGTTTCTAACTGCATTACATTCATAGTGATAGCCAAGAGGGCTATTTTTTTGAATCCATAAAAAGCCTTGTGGTGGCTCTGCATTAGCATGTTTTATTTACCGTGTTATGTCCGAGTAGTGGCGAGTGGTAAGCATATAGTTTTGGATGTTCATAGCGAAGGATGTACTTGCTTTTGTCTTTTCATGTCGTAACCAGCTAATGCTTCAGTAAACGCCACAGGTGTCACTATTAATTGCAACAAAGCTCCTGACGGGGGGCTGCTAGGGTGTGTACTGGTGAGTGGATGTTGTAGTGCAGTAGGGAAGGGTTGAGTCTTGTGTGTGTGTAAATATCTAGTGCTGTTGCTTCTGGTTGAGAAATGTATTCAGCACTAAGATGGATTAACTATCAAAAGCACTGGTATCTTGCATGAGGCATGAATTTCTGTGACTATTTTTGAGTTATTAGCATTTTCTTGTTGTGCTACTTGCTTTGCTAATCTGTTGATGTTGAATGATAGTGGGCTACAGTGGCTACACAACTGGGTACCCAGATGTTGGGATAAAGAAATTGGTTTAGGTTTAGATGCCCTGGATGTAACTTCTTAGTTTGTTATGACTGTGTGAGTCATGCTGTGCTGTTATGCAGTGCTGGTAGCTAGTTAGCTGGCGTTGTCTTGGCTCTCCGTGGTCCCCATAGCTCTTTGCAGTGGTATTTTCCATTGGCAGCAGAGAGTGGGTGCATAAGCAACTTGTGGTAGATACAGGGCTTGCTCTACGGTCTAGTCAGTGTTGGCACAGCTGCAGAATCTATTGTGATTAACTGCATGCTTCTCTGCATTCTGTGTCGCTTGCCCTATATACTGTATGTATTCGAAGCGTAGCAGTCTGGGTGTTGTCAGATGGTAAAACCACCGCGAAACAAAGTCGTTATTGGTTGCAAGACGAGCAACAACCGATAGGTCAGTAAATGTTTAATTGAGTGTTTTGTTTGGAACAATGTTCAACAACTTTATATTCGTCTGCTCTGATACTGTGTGTCTAAATGGGCACAGTGTAAAGACTCAGGCCGGTCATTCCGCTTCGCACGTACGTAGAGTGCTGCTCCTGATTGGGCTGTATTATTATAATGATGTGACACTCAATGGTGCAATATTCGGTTCAAGATCAATCCAAGCAAGGTGACGGTTTCCTAAATACAGCGTTTTGGCTGAATTGGCAGTTTAAACTTCCGCTTATCGCTTAACAGACTCCAAACGTGTCGTGACATTTTTAGATACGGCTCTTGAGCTTAATTAGTACAGTGTTTTAGCACTGATTCTGACAAGGACACAATTAGGAAATTCTTAAAGTCTTGAAAAGACATGACACTGAGTTCTGCACATAAATGTATAATAATTTTAGGACCCACGCAGCGCAGTGGTCCGTTAAAGTGTTTCCTATTTCCTCCCAACTACTGTAGCAGCAGCCCGGAGCTCTGTGTCTTTCTTGAATTCTGTGATCTACCATTCGAGCTAAACTACCACACAGCAGTTTTTTTTTGCCCTGTTCTTTAAATAGGCCTAATCTCGCTGTTTTGCAGCAGTAGTGAAAGCTTTGTGGTCGTTGTGTTGCGTAGTTGAGCAGTTGCTTAAACGTAAAAGCTAACATGACAATGACCTTTTAAGAGAGGCTGTTGAGCATGACGGCACACCCATTAGCAGAAGTGATATCAGACTTTTTTTTCTTTTTTTTGACCAACACACCTCAAGCTGCCTTGCTGCGTCTCTAGAGAGCAAATGTCTTGATTATGGAGCTGCACAATAAAATATCGCCTCTAAAATATGTGCTACTGCCTTACTAGAGTAGATTTAGTGAAGTGGTTTTGTTCTAAAAATTCTTTTGAATGAAAATATTTGCTTTTTTCCAAGCATGATTGCTTCAGAGCAGAGGAGCGCTTGTGTATCAATAGACAACGGCACCTGAGCTTGTTCTACTTGCTTTGTTCGAAGAGGATGTGGTTTTAAAAACATTTTAAAGCCACAAGATTTAAACGGTCACGTGTTCTGTAGAGTCGTACTTGCATTGGTTTTGTATCTGAGGAGAGGTTGAGTTTAAAATAATGTGTGTCTAGTTAGTTGTGGCACTGATGGAATTTGTCAAGACCAGCGTTTGAGTTTGTGCTCGGGACCTGGTCGCAATTAGTTTGTAGTATGGTCTGACTCATGAGGAAAAGTATGAGGAAAAATAGTTAAAAAAAAAAAAAATCTATTCTCATTTTTGTTTTCTATGATTTTGTTGTTATTAATTCTATTTGTGTGTTTGGAGGACAAAGCTTAACTCCAACACGAGACTGCTTTGTAATCTTCTTGCATTTTTTGCTTATTTGTATACATATGTAGACAAAGTAATAGGGGAGGGGGGGACGAGGAATGAGGGAATAATAAGGGGTTCTTTTGTGCATGAGTGAACTGGAGGTCCATAGTTTTCCCATTGCCAAACAACTACTATGCCTCCTAGGTTTTCACATGTTTACTGAGATTAAGGGCTATATCAGTCATCAATCGTGTGTTGTACTGACAAACATCCATCCATCCATTTTATCGAGTGACTCGTCTGCTCTGTGCTGTTTATTTAAAGCCACAGTTGCCGAGGTCCACTATCTGAATGGTCAGACATCTGCAATGTGAACATGGTCAGTGTTTTGGATTTGGATGTCTTTTTTTTTTTTTTATGTTGTGGTGGAGCTCATATTTAACAACAGCTGATTGTATATGACTGTGTACGTTTTGTTTTATAGGCTTTAACTTTGCCTTTTTGTTTTGTCAAGCTCAACAGAGGTGCGTGATGCGACATCCCTCCATCCCCCCACCCTGCCCAATGAGAACCATTATTCCTTATGTAACCGGCTGCATGTGTGGTTGTGATGGGAGGTTTTGACTTTGGCTCTTTTGTGGACCGCGACTCCACCAGGCTCCGTCTTGCTAACAAACTGTAGCCAGCGTTGTAGCTGTTTTTATGTTTTTATTTCTTTTACCCAGCTGCACCGCTCTGCCCGTGGACCCTTGGAAAACAGGCGGGCACATCCACTCACGGAGAAGTGTCGACAGAATAATCAACCAAAGTTGCTGCCGTCTCCATGCTACACAGATCATCACTGTTTTCCCCAGTGTGTGTGTGCGTGTGTGTGTATAAATGTGTGTGTGGTTGTCATGGCGATGGTCTGTTTGCTTTCCCACTCTCAGGGTTATCTTTAACGAGCAGTGCTAGAGTTTGAAATGAACACATCTTTGACCCACCAGTCACATAAAGCCAAAGCAGTTGTTTTATGGTAATTGTCTCCCCCTTTGTTGTCTGATGTTAATTCTGCATCACGCACCTCTGTTAGTGTATTGTACTTTACTCAACTAGGCTATGCAAAAACATAAACCTACTGTTATATGCTGCGACCGTTTCTCACGTTCTCTGTGTTTTTGTCTGTGGGCACCAGTACAAGCAATATAACTCAGTACATGTGGCACTGTACTGTAATCTACTTTTGTTGGTGTGTGTGTATTTGTTTAAGAAAACTTGGGGAAAAAAAATACTTGTAATGCTACTATAATAATGTGCTGAGTATGTATGCGTCAGTGTCAACTGAGGGGGCTTGAGTTAAAAAGCCATTCTAGTTTATAGACTTTTTTTCTTCTATTAGTGATTTTCTGCTTGCTTCCTCAACCACTAACACTTTCTACTTCTGGATAAACCACATTATTAAGTTGTGTAAGCCGAAGAAAGAAGTTGAATATTTTGTTTTTGTTGGATGAATTCATGTTTGGTCATATTTGGTCCATTTGACACTTTCCCATCCCTCGTTTTCGTTGCACTAATTCAATGTGTTGGTTTTCTCAGTTTAAGCAGAAACTTTCTTCTTTATTCATCTTGATGAATTTTCACTTACTGAATATTTAACGGTTGCCTTTTAATCCTCAGTTATTACACCATCAATTTCAAACGTTTTATATATTATACACATGAAAGACCTCAACATGGAACACAGTCAGCGTACATTAGACCAGGACACATTTGTGTACTTCAGAATACTTTGTGGACACTCTGAACTTGTGAAAGGAACAGCATTATCAGTATGGTTCCTTCTGTTAAACAACCTTTTCTCATTTTTTTCCTCAACCATAGATAATACCAAACAGATGGAGGTCTCATGGTTGAGCCATGTGGGTTATTTTTTTTTTTTTTTGCCAAAATGAGAAACATCCTAGTTTGAGAAGTAGGAAGGCAACTACAGTACAAAACAGACCAGACTGTCTACATTTTTTTGTCCTAATAACTTCAAACAAGCCAAAATGAGTAAAGTGGAAAAAGAGGAAAAAAATTAAAGCACTGAATGATAGATAAAATGCTTTGTTTTTAGTAAGAAGTCTGCTGTGTACTCGTTGGGTCATCATTTGTATTTTATTTTTTTAATAAAACAAACATTGGCACTCAACTGACTCTGACTCTTGGCGGTTCTTGACTTAAACCCTTTTGATGTATCCATTTAACCTCAAGTAGCCTTTTGAAGGATTTTGGTATGTTGTCTTACACATTTGTAAAGTCTGGGGGTGGGGGAGAAGTTCTCTCGAGTCCTTAAAAGAGAAATTAACCTTGAGCACTTGAGAGTAAAAATAGTGCTGGAGGATTATCACATGGCTGTGTGAGAGACACCTCAGGCAGTCAACATACATTATTGATGGGATGTCATGTCTCCTTAAAATTAGGATAACACACAACCTGTTCACTATATAGTACTGTTTATGACATAAGCCTCGGGTAGACACAGGATTTCACTTTTAAATGTCGAACTAGGGTCGATATGTAGTACTATCTGAATGTTGTTGCTTTAAATATAACCCAACTTCACACCCAGAGGTCATAAACATCAGCGTAGGTCTTGTTTGGTCTTTAATGGCGCAATGTTAATACTTCAGGACAGAGACAAGATAAAAATGGTTACAAAATGTAATTTATGGGTCACTGAATGGATACATGAGGCACATGGTTGTCATACAAAAGGCAACAAACAGGATGAATAAGGTAGGGTGGTTGTCACAGTGGCTACAGGAAATGAGGAAGACCTCACACATTGCACGATTGAAAACAAAGCACCACATAAAAGATATATGATGTTGACATGAGGCCTGGGACTTTTTCCAGAACATATTGAAGATTGTGCAGATCCAAAAGCGGCGGGCTGAGGCCAAACCAGCATTTTTGTTCAGTTCATACAATGCATGACAGGCAGTGGTGTTTTTACATATAAACACAAAAGAAACACAAATAAAAAGGTCATTAATATTCAGTGTCCAAAGAAAAAGTGTCAGTGACAGGGAAAATATTGGCAATAATTTAGTAATCATTCAAATTCTCTATAGTCGCTCCCTTCAGTGCAAAGTCCATTTCTGACATTTAAATATCTACTTTAAATATATTTAGAAGAATTTGATCATAAAACTTTGATCCATTTTCTCAAATACATGCATACAATCTGGGCAAGGGAACAGTGATGAATAAACATTTTATGTCATGATTGTTAAAAATAAGAAATATTTCCCTGAAACACCAAAATCTTTGCCACATGCGCCAATGAGACAGCTCAGTTTTCCATGTGCTTCACATAACCGCGTGAAAAGGTCTACGATGTGGTTCAGAGAATTAACCTCAACAAATGCCATGCATACTACAACTACAGGATGGGAATACATTATATAATACATACACAGGTTCAAAATGATAGTATAGAGTATAAAGCACTCAGCTGCTTTTTTCTAATGCAAAGAAGAGTAGAGATCCATCTTTAGTTCGCTCGGAGCTACAGTAAAGATGACATTGTTGGTTTTTTAGTGGTATTTGGTTAGCGCTTCAAATCATACTGCGGGTGGATCACCAGTAGCAACACATTGGATACTTATATATTTCTCAAAGCCATAAAATCAACATCAGAAAACTCAGAGAATTTCATAGTTGTCAAATGCAGCAAACTGTAACAGAAAATAATATGTAGCTGCTCGTAAGAAGTCATGTGACATACTGCACGTCTGCAGAGGTGGAGATGGTAAGGCCGAGTTGGTGAGTGTCAGGCAGGGGGGGGCTGAGGGCAGACTGTGATTTAAGTCCTCCTACTGCTTCATGACTACCAATGGCAGAGTGAGAGAATGGCTTTGTCTACTCCATCTCCCATCAGACTGCTGTTGTCCTCAGGATGAAACAATCTGCTGCGCCCTACTGGACGACAGCAGCATCTCACTTTTCTTCCTCTTGGGTCCACACACCGCAGTACTTGTCGCCGTCTTTCTCCTTCCGTTTTCAGTAGAAGCGCTTGCGCCGGCTCTCGTTCCACTGGCTGTAGACCACCAGGCCGATGACGATGAGGAAGATAAAACCCAGCATGGAGAAGAGCACGGTGAAGAAAAGAGCTATCCCGCTCATCCCTTCTTCAGTCTGACCCACTGGAGGAGAGGACGACAGTCAGAGAGTTAAAGAGCGAATAGAAGGCAGGGTTTGGAGGGAAAATAAAAATACAATTGTTAATTATCTGTCAAAACTGTAGTCAGCAACTTAAGCTAAGTATCGCAGTATTCTATAAGACATCAGAACAATGTACCCTTAAAAAAGAAAAGTTGTTTGTACCCCAATTACATCTCTATTACATGTAATCAATTACTCCCCAAGCCTGGTAGAAGGTGGGTATGTGTCTGATGGAGGGATGACAGCGAAGGTGATAAAAGATGGAGGTGACAGAAGGAGAGAAGAGGAAAGTGACACCTGACATTAGAGGATTCATGTAATAACAATAACGTGCGTGTGTGTGTCTCTTACGTCTGAGTAGTTCAAAGTTATCTACGCTGGGTATGGTTATCTCCTCTTCCGCCTCTTCCTCTTCCTTTTGACTCCGCAACACCGTCAGTTGGTAGAGTTTCAGGGAAATAATATCATGGTTATCTATAAATGGAGAATCAGAAAATGGGAGTATGTTTAATGAAAGGGCCTCACACTTTCACTGCAAATGTTCATAGAGCAAACATAAAAGCAGGAGTGTTTAAAGTTTTAACACTTTTCAATTTTAATTAAAATAATCCAGAGTTTTTTTTTATATCTTAACTCACAATAAAAAGCAAAACAGCATGTATTCTGTCACAAAAAGGCAGAGCGACAACAACCAACCTGAGTTTTAGATCTGTTTTACTAACAGTGCTACTTTGATTCTCACTCATGCAATAAACCTTACATTTTCAGTTAAATAAGAAAGAAATATAAAAAATTATTTGACAGAATATTAAGAACATAAGTGTTTTAAACTCAAGGAAACACAGTTAAAATGGTATTTGAGATCCACAAAGGTTGGGATAGTACTTTGATGTAGCCTGCAATCTTTCAATTATGGTGACATTGACCTTGTGGTTAGTGTAGTTCATGCTGAAAGTAACAGCTGTGTTCTGCCTTTATCAACGAGTCTACAGTCTGATTACTTAAAGGATCAATTCAATATATCTTTTACAAGGCCCTGTTTGTCCTAAATCAATGGTGCAAACACAGCCAAGCAGCAGCAGAAAGTGATCTTTAAGGAGGTATTTATTAACAGACTTTGGAGAAAAAAAGTACAGTGAAACTGTAGTTTTGTAATGTATGGAATTCATAGGAAGAAACATCCCATGCCTGGTTGATATGAATACAAATATTTTTATCTCATAATAATATAAAATATACACAAATCATATCACAAAAGGTAAGGGTAAGGTAAGGTAAAAGTAAAAAGAAGATTTTCTATGTTCAAAGCTGCACAACAAGGACAAACACTAAAACAATACACAAACACAGGCACTAGTATTGTATGTAAGGATATAAGTTAAAGATATTGTTTGGGATGGTGAAAGCTGTTTACCTGAGAGGTCTCCAGTGATGGCTGTAGCTCCAAAATAATAGCCTTTGGGAAGCTGCACCCCAGGTATGTCCAGGCAATCCCTCCACTCATGTTGCCCATCGATGTCTATCATCACCTGGAGAACGGAGGACAACAGGGAACCTCAGTGACTTTTAGAGGGTCGAATAATGTCAATAATTTGGCATCTATTCTTAATAATTGCCCAATACCTTCCTGTAACTGCTTTACTGGAGCCTTCAACTGTTTATTATTCTGCTCTGTTTGTGTCTGTACTTGTCACATTATTTAGTGAAACTGTACACAGATGGTTGCTGTAAAAGAGTGCTCAGCCAACTAACAATTTATTATTATTTATTAAATAAATATTAGCAAGTCAAACTGAGTCCAGCCAGCGTATGCTAATAACAGGTTGGACAGCTGAAGACATGAGGAAGTGTCTGCGTGCGCTAAAGCAGTGTTATTATTATTGTAAATAACTGAAGACAGAGATCTCAGTTTGTGGCGTGCGTCTCTCACCGTTAGCCTGCGGCGGATGTATCGGATAAAGAGGAAGGTGTCGTGTTTGAGGTTGCGCACCATGGCGTTGCAACCACCGAGCTCTGTGGGCCGACCGTCCCGCTCGTGGTCGTAGCTGATGCTGCCATTTCCAACCATGGCCAGAACGAAGGGGAAGATCCTCTTGTGGTCACAAGAGGAGAAGAGAGAGATGGGGAAATAGCCTTGATTTTAACTTAATCACACGCTGTAATAGCTCTGACAGTTGATTCTATGTAACTCATGAACTCCTTCATATTTACAAACTTAATTGTTCCACTTCAATGTCACATTTAGTTACATTTCTAGAATGGTCTATATTAATTATTTACTCCTTTTTTTTGTTTTATAACCATTTCAGCATGTATGCTAAGTATTGGTTCAAAGATGAGTGTGTTTGCAGGCAGAGAAGCATGCTTAAGGAGCAATGGAGTCTGTATAATGAGGTTAGACATTGGGTTGGGATCAAATGTTCAGAAAGCCATTTACCTGTGTGCGAGGAGTATATCTTTTCTTCTGTGCCTGTCTCCAAATGGTTGTACAAAAGAACACAAAGACACAAACTTTACACAAATGTGCAGGAGCACTTGCCCTTAACCCAAATTTACTTTCACAGATGCAGCATACCTCTAGGTGTTTCTCCTCATTGGGATACGTGTCCACAAACACCCCCAAGCCAGTGAAGTTGTCCATATTTCCAAATACAGGACCTGTATAAGAATGAAAATACAGAGTTAATAATATAGAGAAAATTGTTTCTTATGAGATAAGAAGAAAGGTGAGGTAGATGATACGCGTTTACCTTTCTGCATACGCTCCTTAGTGTACCAAATGGCCAACCCATCGCCATTCAGGTTCTTCTTTCCTTGCCCGTGAATCTTAAAGTGCACCTGCATCTCCCAGTCATTCAGATGGCAAGGCTAGAAACACACACACAAGTTATATGAAACCACTGAAATACATACTATTTACTCCCAGGAAATAAACAAATGAGAGGAAAATGAGAGATTCCCAGATTTTGGATTTTGGGGGGGACGCAACCCCATTAAAAACCCGTGGACCCGACCAAACCTGGTCTTATATTGAAGTCTGGTTTTGCTTTCAGTAGTGTTCTCTGTCTTGCAGCCCGTCATTGTTGGAGTTTTTGGAGATTAGTTTAATTTATGGTTAGGTAAGCATAGGTTAAAACTGGTTGTGTATGACTGTAGTGCTTAGCAGCCATGTTAGCGAATATAGCTGCTTAGAGCTACGGTTGTTGAGAGGTAGCACAAATCAACCCAACTACAGAGCTCAGGTCCATTTTAGTACTCCCAATCAAAGCTCAAAGGAATGCAGATGATCCACTTTGGCCCTCAGTGGCCAAATATATAAGTATAAACATTCACCACAGTGTGGCATTTGGGTTGCCATGTCAGAGGCATGAGGTTTTCATCCACTCACGCTATCAAGGGCAGCAGTTTATTTAGCTTGGTGCATGATAAGATCAGGGTTGTGGTTAAGAGTCGACAGCCAATCTCTGTCTGAAAGCAAAAATCAGTCTGTAAAACATTCTCCCACTGACCCTAACCACACCAAAACCCATATTCCAATTTTACTGAATTAACATGTAACTTTATGACATAACATAAACATATCAACCACATTTCCACAGAATACAGTAATTAGGCTACCTACCTAAAATCATTAATAATAGTCAGTTCAACCCGCCAAATCTTTAATAACTTGCTGGGTGTAGTTGCCAGTTTGTCAGAAGCATTGAGCCTCGACTAAATATTGAAAACCTCGCAGTGTAACACGATGCAATTCAGCAGCATCGCAAAGTCGCTATGAAGTTGAATCAACACCTTTTTAACATTACAGCCTTCATGAAGTTATTGTAGAGCTGTTTTATTAGACTTGGCGAGTCTTATGAACTAGTATTACTCACTGGCCCTAACCCTCCCTCTCATCTGCATCCAGTGCCTCCTGGCTGTTACTGTGAATACAATCTAAAACACCTGTTTTTATAATACAACCCTGGCATATAGGAAGAAATGAATGCTGCAGGTTTACCACTATAGTGTATACTCACAATGCGGCTCCATACCGCCCCCTGCCTGCTCTGCATGTCAGGTGTGAGGCGCACCTGGTCGGTTGTTACCATGGCATCCCCCATCAGCTCCCAGTGGGAGGAGCCTAAAGATCCCACACCTGAGCACACACACATATTATACCATCACCGTGAGAACAGCTGACACAGCACAAGAGAGATAAACGAGCCTGACGCCGCTTTGTTACTAAACCCAACATCAGACAAAGCAGCCAGGCGAAGGTCTGTAATAAAGCACCATGTGGGGTATTAAATATCATAATACAAGGGGGTTGTTATAGCAGCAAGGTTCACCTGAAGAATTAAAATGTTCACAGACTCCATCAAACAAGATATTTTAGTTAGAAATGAGCTCCAACATAGATGTAAGTGGATTATTCTGGAAACATCTGTCGCCTGCCCCTCTGAATCAGCCCCACTGTAGCACTTTATAACGGGTAGCGTTACCTTGGTAGGGCTTGGAGAGGGAAAACTCCCGCTTCAGAAACTCTTCCATCTCGTGATCATCGTCGGCAAAACAGCGACTCGCAGTTAATATAAGAAAAGCGAAAGTCCAGAGAGATTTAAAAGGCATTTTTTCCCGTCTGAATGGTATTTTGGACTCCCTGTGATGATGGTTCCTGCTGACGGTAGCCATCGTAGGTCAAAACTCATCCTACAGAATCGTCAGCTCGCTTCCTATTGGTTCACCGCGTTCCATGGCTCGTCGCCATTGGTCCGTTTGCTTGTCAATCAGAATGCGCGGTTTTAATTGGATGTCCATGGTGAAAATGGGTCAATTTACTTATTACACTGGAACTGTAGCAGAGCTGTAGTAAATTATATTGTTCCTGATAGGAATGCATATATTCTTCAGGTTCTTTATTAAATTCAATACATAATTATTTATTATTTATCTACATAATTTATGTCACTCTTAAATTAAAGCTAGACCTACTTTACATTTTTAAACTGTATTTTGCTACATTGTCAACATGTCTTAATGTATACTACATGATTTCTAAGATAAGATAAGGTATACTTTATTGATCCCAGACTGGGGAAATGCACTTGTTACAGCAGCTCCAGATAGAACATAGCAGATAGGAACAAAAGAAATACACATTTATAAAAATAAAATAGAAAAACTAAAGATATAAACAAAAAAATATATAGAATTAGAGTTGTACTTAGACTATATACAGTTTATTTTATACAGGTGTGATTTAAGTTAAAATATATTAAATAATATTGCACAGGTTACAGCAGGAGGTAGTGGCATGTTATAACAACAAAGACAAAAAACCTTTGCCTGAGTTCTTCTTCTGTGTTTGCTCAACAACTGATTGGTGTGTACAATATGTAGAACAAAATTGTACGAAGCAGAGGGAATGGAGGGCTTATAATAATGTTAAATGTGCAAGATAATAGATAGTTTTTTAGGAGAGATTGACGTTTTTGTAATTCTGTCTCCACAGATAAGTGAGTTTTTGAAAATAAAATATTTGCCACTCCCAACCTTTTTCCTTTAGACTCTTTCTGTGTGTGTCTTGTCCTACTACAGCACGGCTTCTACATCTACACTACCTACAATGGAGTGAACAGGTTAATTGCAACCATATTTTAATATGTAGTTATTCTGTGTTCTGCTTTAAGAAATCTTGTTTACTAACTTAAGGTTAGTAAAGGTTATGGCAAGGAAAACATGTAATACTCATATATGTCGCAGCACAGTGAGGCATCCCTGTGAAACAAGAGAGCAGACAAATTGGCAAAAGAAGAAGTCAAAAGGGGAACTGTTAAAAATGTCAAATGGTCAAAATCACAGAGCATAGTGTGAAGTAAATCAACAGTGGCAACAACATCGGGATAACACAATAAAAGGGACACATTTACACTAACAGAGCAGGCTAGATTAAAATAGATAGATGGATCTAGAACAGAAAAGTACGGAAGCCCTAAAGGGCCATGCGTTCATACATTTTATTTCCTCCGTTTTCCCGTGATAATGGGGCAGTTTAATGTTTCTCGACATTCTCGCAGATAACGAAACTTTGTTCTTCCCGGGATAACGATTACAATTAAATTTTAATCTCGATGATACATGCTGTGTATGGATAACTGCCGGGGATCAAGCCAGCCGTTACCTTCCGATTCTCTGGTTGGTTCAAAAAACAGCCGCACTTAAATTTGACGTTGTTGTATATATATATTTATTTATAATATTATATAATTTCTATGGCTATTTAGCACGCTATATAAATATCTAGTATAAAGTGTTATATTCCAGCATTATGGTAAATGCGGGAGAAAACAGCGTATTCACTTCTGGTTTGTCTGGTGTTTCATGCCTCCATGATGAATGTAAAAAACATACTTAATATCAAGCATACTACTGCACCAATGTGGGAGCCAGGAACTTATTGAGCAAGAAGTTGTTTTTACAGTAGGCTCATACAATATAAAAATTATGGAATGTTAGGTATAAATTTTATGGGACTTTATTGTTGATTTTCCACATTGGGTGCAAGTAAAATGCTTGGATATTAATATACACTTTGTGATTAGATGATATAGAAGTCAAAATATACCACCATAGCCAGGAATATTGGAGCAAAAGTGTTTTTAAGTAGCCCTCAAATATAAGAAAAATATGAATCTATAGGTATAAATTATGGGGACTTTTATTGGGGGTGTAGCGGTTCGAATTATAGCTTACTGTTCTTGAATACCTTTATTCTTGGGCATTGACCGCAGTTTATAATCCACAGTCATTATAGCCGAGATCTAAAATTAATTATATCGTTTATGTCAGGAAAAACAAAGTTTCGCTTATCTCAAGATCTCGGAAAATCTAACTCGTTATCACGGGCGAAAAAACGAATAAAATGTATGAATGCATGACCCTGTAGGGCTTCCGTTGAAACGTTATTCTTCTTCTAACATCTCAATGTGGCAGTAGAGCACCGCTGCTGCCAACTGCCGTAAAACCGAACAAAGAAGAAGAGGTACGCACCGCGAAACTAAACAAAGACAGTATTAGCAGAGCCCGTCTAACGTTAGACATTCTCTGGTATTAGTTACTGAGTTTGGTCTCTTCGTTTAATAACAATGTCTTCAGTTGAGTGTTTGAGAGAGTTTGTCAACGAGCGACTCGCTGCTGCTGTTGAAGACATATTCGGAGCCTTTCGAAAAACTGTCGTCGAGTACGAGGAAGAAATAAAGAGGCAGCGCAGACTGCTGGACCTCGTTTGGAAACCTCAAATAAAGTTACACAGGATAGGTGCGTCGTTAGTTTAATAACACGAAACAGAGGAATAACATTTATATATGGCATTAATTTTAATATCTACTGGTACTAATGTTTCTGTACCACCACTGTAGTATATTCATAGTCTTTAGTCTTTCTGTTACTGTACTTACAGAGCTCCTACAGCAACATGTCTGTAAGGAGGAGATTCTTGTTGACCAGCAGCTCTGTAACCAGAACCAGAACTCCAGTGTGGACCAAGAGGACCCAGATCCTCCACAGATTAGAGAGGAGAAGGATGGAGGGCAGCTTGTACTGAAGCAGGAGAGTGACACCGTCATGCTTTATGAGATAAACCACCACAGTGAACCAGAACCAACATGGGAACACCAGCTCCTCTCTAACAACTCGCATGCAGCTGGGAGTCAAGATCAGAAAGGAGGCAAGCGTGGAGGTTCAGGATCGACTAGAAACGCAGAGCCGGAGCCAAAGACAATGCATCACGCAGGAAGAAGTCACAGCAACGATATAAAGAGCTGTACCGTATCCGTATCAAACATTCTCAGTGTTCACACAGAAAGTGGCACAAAGTATTTCAAATGTGACACGTGTGGGAAAGATTTTAAATATAAGTCTCAATTTTTTATACACCAGAAAGTCCACACAGGTGAGAGGCCATATTGTTGCAACACATGTGGGAAACGATTTAGTCGTAAAGGGTGTTTGAAATGTCACATGACAACCCACACTGGCGAGAAGCCGTATACTTGCCAAACATGTTGTAAAGATTTCAGGTCCAAGTCAGATTTTATTATACACCAGAGAACACACACAGGTGAGAAGCCGTATTCCTGCAAGACCTGTGGGAAAAGATTATCCAGCAAAACAACATTGAAAAGGCACATGATAACCCACACGGGGGAGAGGCCGTACCTTTGCAAGACCTGCGGGAAAAGTTTATCTTGCAAAACAACATTGAAAATGCACATGATAATCCACACGGGGGAGAGGCCGTACCTTTGCAAGATCTGTGGGAAAGGCTTCATTGAAATTCCACGACTGAAAAGACATTTGGGAACACACACAGGTGAAAGGAAAACATTCAGTCTGATGTCAGACTGGAAAAGGCACACAGGAACTCATACAGGTTAAACAGCCATTGACTTGAAAAACGTAATGACTATACAGTCAACATGAGAGGAGAACGGTGGGAAAAGATACTTTGATGTAACTCATTTTATAAGGCATAAGAGAACGTAAGTGTGGGCAAGTAGCCTTGTGTTGGCAAAATATGTGGGAGACAGTTCAGTTGTAGTTGTTGTGGCTCATGGTCAAAACACAGAAGAACTCATTGAGGCGAGGAGCCACGTTTCTCAAGGCTCGATGTACACAGGAGAAACCATCCAGCGGTCTGTGCAGACATGTTCACCACCTGAATAAAGTACACTTTGCAATAGCTATATCTCTGTAATTTAATGTAAAATGTTTTCCATAAAGATGCAGTGTCAGTATCTTCATGTACAGGTTCCCTTCATGTGACTGTATTTCTTATATTTCTGTTAGCAACAGTATTTCTTTGAAAGGAGGAAAAATGTTAGTTTTAGTGAAAGTGGTGGCTGTTAATGCAACGATGTGATCGGTGTGGTTGTTGGTTTTGCCACTTAAAATGAGTTTTTCTTGATAAAGGATTCATTGTAAAATGTTTTGTTAAATTTTGATAATAAATCTGAATGAATCTGAAAACTTCCAGTGACCCCCTGGACTACCATGGGCCCCACTTTGAGAATCACTACACTGACATCACTATTAATAATATAATAATATATAAGATAATATATAAGAAGTCCTATTAAATGTGACCCTGCCTCTTTTTGCTATTTCAACAACATGTCTGCAGTGTCATGGGTCCAGAAAGGTTGGATTAGCAAGTCTAAGCAGTTCACATTGCGGATAAATGCAGCTGAATTATAGAAAGAGAAACCCCATACACACGAAACTATAAATATAGATATACTGAATTGGAGTTTTGACAATGCACCAGTAGTGATATGTAGTCCAGCTGATACATGTAAGAACAGCTTTGATGTTTCTGCAGCCAGTGGGATGCTGTAGTGAGCTGTGATCACGCCCCCTTCACTGCCCCTGCTGCCTGTCGGATTTCCTACATTCCTCACACCGAGTTCACGTTAGTAAGTACAGCATATAAGGGGATGGAGTAAAGGAAGAAGAAGGCATGGATCCCGTTGAAGACAAACCAAGCAAAACGGTCGACATTTATCGCGATACGTGGGTCCGCTTCCTGGGTACGTACTGTTATATTTCCCACTTGTGATGGCTCTCAGTCGTGAACGGAGCGTTTGAATCGAACCGTAACTGTAACGTTACAGAACGGACCGTTGAATCGAACCGTAACTGTAACTTACAGCAACGGAGCGTACTTACAGAACGGACCGTTTGAAATCAGAACAGTAACTGTAACGTTACAGAACGGAGCGGTAACGTACAGAAACGGACCCGTTTGAACGAACAGTAAACTGTAACGTTACAGAAACGGAGCGGTAACGTTACACTGGAGACGTCCTGACCCTGGAGCTGTGCGCTAGCTAGCTAGAGGTTAGCATAGGAGGCTAACTATGTTAAACTATGTTAAAATTCTATTTATAGCAAACTTGGCCTGTTGAAGGACATTTTGTTAGCACAGGACGTAATGGACGACGTCCAAGACCGCGTAACAACACCGTTGTTCGCGCTTTAAAGCATTAAACTGTATGTATTTTGATAGGAGTTGTCTCCGTAGCTCAGTCCTGTATCATTAAAGTTGTTGAGCAAGTTGAGGCAGTGACTCACACAACCAGAGAGAGACGCCCGTCGGCATGTCCCAACCCAATAACTAAACACTACTGCGGCAGATGCAGCTCGCTATCAGTGATTGGTTTCCATGCCGTCCTTCTCTAATCGAAACATCAGAGTTGTTCCTAACATCGGTCACACTTGCTGAGAAGAAGGGCATGTGCTGTAAAACGATCCGTGAAGGGCATTCACACTGCAGCAGTCCCCACTGTCCCCTGGTGAACATGCCTCAATCTCCTGCTCTTCCACAATCGGTTCATCCCCCTCATAAAATCTTTAATCTGTTTGCTCTCATCTGTAATCCCACCTGTGCAGTCAAAATATATGTATCTACATTTAAAAGTGTTCCTGCTTCACTTTCTAATGTTTGTGTGATTTTGCTCTGAATATTAAACATGCTTTTAAACTACTGGGAGCAGCTGAACATAAGAACAGAAGAATAGCGCAATTTATGGATAAAAGTGGATATTTAAGGTGTCTTCAACTCATTCATATTTCATATTAATACGATACTGTGTATATTATATTTTCTTCCTTAAATGGTTCCTTGCACATCCTACATTAGTAATTTTTATTTGCCAAGAATGAATTTCTTCGTAGTATCGGATTGCCCAGAATGGTCTGGAAAAGATTATTATGCAACAAAGACTGGATTTAACCTGAAATATAGCTGTTTTAATTAATTATATAGCGCCAAATCATAATAGAAGTTATCTGAGGACACTTTAGAGCAGGTCTAGACCGTACTCCTTCTAAAATAACTTACAGAGACCCAACAATTCCCACTGTGACCAAGCACTTGGCGTTAGCGGCAAGGAAAAACTTCCTTTAAACAGGCAGGAACCTCGAGCAGACCCAGAGCGTCCATCTGCCTCGAGGGGTGGGAGGGGTAGAGACAGAAAGACAGAGAGACTGTCCAGCTGAATGAGCAGGAAAATCAGGAAATGACCCGTTGTAAAATGTTAATGTTGTCTTTGTAGCCATGAGCTGTCTGCCCCGAGGAGTTACTACCCCTTATGCTTGGGTACAGAACACATATTCACAGACATGTTGAACAAACTAATGTATTAGTGGGACCACCAGCCTGATGGATCTATAAGTCACTTTTATATAAGTGTTTTGGTGCCAATGTAGAGCAGGCTAATTGTAGGTGGATAACAGAGCAGCAATAGGATTGCCTGGTGTACTTGTAGATGTAGCTATTACAAGGGTGTAGTCGTCTGGGTCATTTTTAAAATCCACTAAAGGTACCATCCAAGCCCTCACAGTATGTCCACATCCTGTTTTCTCTTGTCATTCCTTATCTCTTCAGTTTCTCCTACCTTCAACAACTTGTGAACACACATGCTGACTCTATAACACACCTCCATGCTCTGCTGGGCTCAGGGCAAATAGTGAATCACAAAGGGTAATCTGAAGCCTTTGCTCACAGGTCACAAGTGGGCCCCTGGTTATTATGCCAGGGCATTGCATTTTGTTATTATTAACTAAGTGCCTTGCTGGAAGATAATCTTATCTGGGCTCTCATTGTTATCATGTTTTATTATGCAAGTACAGTGCCTTATCACCTTGTGCCTCTGGAGATCCAGTAGTTACTCTGCTGTCATTTTCATTGCTACAGTATTATACCAAGCAGCCTGGAGCTCAGACAGAGGTTCCATGAAGTTGTCTTGTTCTTTAGCCCTTTAACCCAATAGCAGATATTTTGACTTGAGATAGTAGAAAAGTTTTCATTATTTAAGGTTCAAAAACATAGAGTGCATCATATCTAAATGGATATTTTTATTGTACGTCACTTTTACAGTTTTAAGGACTTTGCACTGTGTAAGCTAGATAAAAAGGTCTCATTCTAAGGTAACAAAAATACAACACTTCTTATTTTCAGGTCATTAGTATACGCTAATGAAAACATAGTTATGCATATTCGACTCTTTTTATGCCAATAGATCCTCCAAAATGTTACACACTGGACCTTTAACTCAACTTGTTCTTTGAAAAATTGCAGGAATATATTGCTTATATTGCTATGGGATGCACACATGTTCTGGATCGGGATATTCACTGCGAGCAGAAACTAAATGTTACGCTGATTCAAACTCAAACTTGACCCAAAATTATAAGCACTTATTGAACCTGGGATTTTTGTTTTGATGAGCAGTATTTTCTCTCCCTCTTTTTTTCCCTGAAACATAAAGTGCCCTGAATATGTCTTTGTGGTTCTAGGCAGTGCTGGATTTCACAATCATTGTTGGTCCTAAACACGGCTGAAAGCGATTGGTTTTTGAATTTAAAGGGTTTGGATGTGCTGCTTAGAGATAAATTGGAGAAAAAAAACAAAGCAGTCATGTGATCTGCTCTCTTACGGAAGTTGTGGAACAAGCATGATTCACTCCACCAAGTACACGTACTTTAGTGTTTATATGAGAATTCCTCTTTCCTGTAAGCGCCACCGTTCTGTGAAAATGAGTCCATAGCAGCCTATACTGCATGACATGTTTTGGACAGTATTTTAATCATTGTGAACACATTACATACTGGTTTGCATCTTTTTCTCCCCCAATACCGATACCTCAACTCAGGGCATCTGCAGATACCCATGCTCTCTTTCCCCCAAATATAAAATCTGTATTCCACATAGCATTAAACTCATTGGGATCATTTTTATGTAAGGTAACATCAGGCCAGGGATTGTGGTGGGCCGTTGTGACTGAATTAATATAACTGATATATACTGATCTGGTGTATTGGATCGATGTACATATCCCTAAACACAAGATTTATTTGAGAGCAGGACTGCATTGGGACAGTAATTCTGCCCAAGACTAACTCCAGCATAGGTCACCCTATACAAGAGTAGTAATAAGTATTAAGTGACTATTATATGACTCCTTCTTCCATTTGTATTGTAATATATTATGTGTACTCAAACTCTAAAAGCACCATTAATTTATTCCAGGCACTTAATGACGCTGTTGTAGGAGATTTTGTCAAAGTAATGAATAGAGTCATTATTTTAGTTGAAGCATAAGATAAAAATCTGTGGTGTTTTGATAATCCACTAAGCAGCTATGAGGATTAATTAAATTTAAATAGAAATCTGTAATCTAGATCTGAATCTTATCAGTTTCCTCACTAAATCCTGATTTGATTGCCTTAAGTGGAGAATAAAGAATAAGTGTGTGCTACACTGACATGCAATGATTGTTCCTTATTTATTCAGTCAAAGGCCATTTTTGGGGAGGGAATAAAGCGGTGTTTCATTGGCTGTGACATGCTTGCTTGTAAAGTGAGTTCTTTCTTTAGCACGAGTGTAGTCTTTGCACAATAGCCTCAGTCTTTCCGGCAGTACCAGAGATAGAGACAAGCAGCAGAATTGGACTTCACCGCGCTCTGATACTTCTGTCGTCATTGAACCAAGGAAAGATACACTTCCTGTCTTACAAGTTGATTTCCTCAGTGATTTACATGTATTGTGGCGAATGGCACAGGTGACTTCTTATAAAGAGATCAAGGATGTTGAGTCATTTGACCCTTGTGGATTTTAGTATCAGTATTTTCTTTAAGACAATGTCGGAGATAGAGCTGAGGTTTAATAGCCTCTTGGATGTTTCAGGACATACTGGAAAGTGGAGAACCTGAGCTTTTGAATATTTAATGCACTAGTGCACAATGGCACTAAACATCAGTTATTTTTTAATATATGTTTAGGACTAATGCTTTTTTTATAGATCTGGGGCTTTCAGGCCCTGTTAGCAGGGTGGAAAACTAAGGTTATGACACATTTAGAGGAGACTAAGAAGGTTAACGTTTTGTGTTGTTTATGTATGTTTGCCCACAGGCTATGCCAATGAAGTCGGGGAGGCTTTTCGTGCTCTGGTACCAGTGAGTCTGGTATGGGGCAGCTATGCTGTGGCCACTGTGTACGTTACTGCTGATGCTGTGGACAAAGGGAAGAAAGCAGCTGTGGTAAGATTTTACCATTTGTATGTGTTCATTAATAATCATATTAATCAATTTCCATTACATCTATAACAATAAATATTATTATTATTCATTTTAGCAGCTGCCATCATGGGGATCATGGCCTCTATGGATTACAAGAAAAATCTAAGGGGTCATGAGAGAACAGAAAAGAATACTTTCTGCTTTACTGCTTCAGAAATCTAGAAATAATTCAAATTAAGTGAAAAAAATACCTGGTGAAACAGTTACAAGTAGACATTGTTTAGTTTTAAGAGGTCAAAGTAAAAAAAGTTGGGAACCAGTGTCTTGTCAATTAATAACTGAATGAAGAAGTGAGAACAGAGAAGAGAAATTCGTCCAGATTATGAATAAATGATTAGCTTATTTTGTGTATCCACTGTGTATGAAAACCTACCTACCCTCATTTTCTGATCCTCGATCTGTTTATCAAGGCCCACGGGGACAACCCAGGGAAGACAACACGGGTAGCGGCGGCAGTGGTGGACACGTTTGTGTGGCAGGCCCTCGCCTCTGTGATTATACCTGGCTTCACCATTAACCGCGTGTGTGCTGCTTCTCTGTATCTACTGGGCAGAACCACCAAATGGCCCCTGCCCGTCCGCAAGTGGACTACCACAGCTATAGGCCTCTCTACAATACCCTTCATCATTACTCCTATAGACAGGTTGGCACACGTGTATTTGTGTATTTGTATGCATGTTGATTATGTAACTTGCCCATTATGTAAGATTTGGTTTTATGAGTTAGGCGGCTCATATGTGAGTAGCAGTTTTAGCTGCTCTCGTTGCCGCATGGGGCGCAAAGTCAGTCTTTATCAAAATTATGTCAAATAGTTTTTAGAGCTTAAGCTTTTGCCTGTGTACATTGTGCACCACATGTGCAGTCTTTGTAACACATGCCCCTTGATAACAAACAGCCACATGTCTAGGGTAGCCACAAACAAGAACAACAACATAGTAGCTATATACTTTTAGCGACCTTTGCCTTTATTGCAAGAGCTGCTCTTATTAAGCAACAAAACAGCCACTATTGCAGACCAATGGAGAACTGCACAAACAGCTGCCCTCTGAAGTTTGTATAGATGACTTCTTTTGGAAATCCATTCAGAAATGCTTTATTATGTGTCTAACGTCACAGTGTTTCTGCTTTCTGTACCCTGTAGGTCAGTGGATTATCTGCTGGACTCGAGCCTTCGGAAGATCTACAATGAGGAAGAGAAGCACAAATAAGGAGGGATCATGCAGGACACACCATCCCCTCCTGGACAGAGACCAGTCCAGCCTATGTAGACCTGCGCTGATTATCTACTGCTGTGAAGCACTAAAGAAGTGTGAAGAAGAATTTCATGGAGCACAACTCCACAGTTAGTCAAATATACATATAATAAAATAGATTTTATTCCAGAATTATACAATTTATAAGTTAAGTAGTTAAAAGTGAAATCCTGCTTCATGAAATACCCCCTTAGGGATCATTAACTTTAACCTCTCAGGACAATCTGGATAGCGACACTAAAAAAGGTTTAAACAGAAATCGAACAGTATGAAAAATGAATAAATATTCCACTTGAGACAGTGAAATCCTGCTTCTTAAAGTAATATTTGGCAGTGATACATGATGCTGTTATATTCCTGTGATCTTCCTTACAGAGAAAGCCTCCAAGGTTGCCCTCGTGGTTTAGAACTATGAGCCATGGTGTCCAGATGTCAAGGAGATTAAATACAAACCACCACACTTTCTCTTTTTATTAGCCATATACAGTGGTACTGTAATGACAGGCCAAAAAGCCAGTTTGCCATGATGTCCCTCTTATTTAGTACTATTTGTCTTTGACTGTTTTTATTTTGTTTCTTTCCGAAAACAAAGGTTTCTGTTACTTGGAATAGATTCTTCAACAGTGTCTTGTTTAATTGTACCTTACTGTTGGTCATGGGAGCCAAGGTTTGCACAGGGAGCATTTTTTACACCATGGTTACAATCAATGTTACTCTATATGGTCCTAAACTTGTAGAATACTTGTAGTAGCAACACCTTGTACTTGTGCAATAAACCTCACAAATATTTGAATTAATTCTCACCAATATCTTAGTTATCTATTGGTTAACAGTTTTGTAGTAAGATACTCTTAATGTACAATACTGTAATTTCTTTAGTCTAAAAATGTTACACATTCAATCTGTAACTCACTTAAAACTGTATTTCCAGCATCTGGAGTCAAGCTGTTTTGACTCCAGCTGGCTGCAGATTAATCTGCGACAGAATGGTATGATCAGACTAAGAAATATCATACCCCTCCAAACAAGCTTTAAGCTTTGGGTGTACAATTTTAACAGATTTTCCTCCTTGGTGAAGAATAATCGAGATTTCCATCTAATAATTATATTCCATTTAGTGTTGAATTTCTCAAATACTTGTGGAGGTAAGTGTCATGCCTATGCAGACAGGTTTTAAGCGATTATTTTCAGAAATATACATATACTGTACAATAATATACAGATGTCTGTATATTATTTCCAGTGCTTTCTTTGAGAATACTTTATCTCATGCTGAACTATGCAAGGGAAACACGTGTACATACTGTATGTGAGCATCACAAAACTACAGGGATTGTTCTCCACTGTAAGTCTGCGGTTACATAATGTTAAAATGTTGTGAAAAAAAGAAGGGAAATCCGATACAAAATGTAACTTTGAAATTTGCATGAGCTGTCACTAAGACAAAGGAACATACTGTATTGAGAACGGTTATCAGTGCCAGTTATCGTGTCAGTCTACACCCTCGTACCATTTTAGCAATAACATTGTTTAATGTCTTTGTATTACACCATGTTCTTGTTGCTATGAAGGATGTGGTTCACTTTGTCATACTGAAAGAAAAGATTGTGAAAACTTTGGGTGCACCAACATTTCATGTTTTTACTTGCTGGTACAGAGTAGTGATGCAACCTTTTTAATAGTATTTAGATCTGGTTTTATTGGCTTTCTAAATGGTTGAGACACACACGGCTCCATTCAGTGGATGTTTTCATTCACTAAAAGGACATAGCTTACATTCACTTTGTGTGAGTGAAAGGTTTGAGACCTTTTCCACACAGTCTGTCTTGTCATAGCAGAAAAAAAGCACAGGTGTAAATAACAAAGATGTCAAAGTCGAACGTCAGCACATAGTTTCTTTAAGTGTCCCAGTGAGCCATGCCAGTGATTAATGCTGCATAGTAACATGGCCCTGAACTGGGACACTTAAATGTATCACACACATAATTAATGTTATTAATTATACCTGTGCTTTTCTTGCTGTGACATACCACATGTCTGCGCTTTTAAAAAAGCATGTTGGTGCATCCCTAGTGAAAATCTATATATTCATATTCAATTTTAACATTTCAGATTGTACACAGATCTTCATTGTATTTTTATTGTTGCAAATGAAACGGAACGGTTTACTTTTTTGTTGTTCTTATGTGGCAGTGTGTTCGGAAGTGGGTTTTATGAGTCACATTTTCAGCCTTAACTGAAAGAAGAAAAAGTGGTCAAACCTCAAGCTTTGTTCCATGTGCTGTAGTTAACAGGGGTGGAGATTGTTTCTCAAATGTGAAAGTAACTGTTGTCTGTAACAACTTCTGGAACACTGGAGAATAAAAACAACTGTAAAGTGAAATAAATTATGTATTGACAAGGATGTCTGATGTTTTCTTTCAAACCTCACCAGTCACAGCATAAAATATCATTCTGTTTTATTAATGAATGGTAATACAGTTAAAGTTTGTTTTTTTCCTCCATAATTCCTGCAACAATAACAACACTGATTACAAATAAAGCAGAACCACTTTGTAGCTTTTGGAAATAATGATTTACAGCTCAGATCCTTCAGTCCTTCCTATAAGAATACCTTTCTACAGTGTGATTCTAAGTGGCAACAATTTGCTCTTTGTACAAGCACAGTTTCCACTTCCTGAGTAACCTACCATCACTTTCAGTTGAAAGAGGTGTAATTCAGGGGATGGTTTAACCAATGAAATGGAAGCACTCAGGCACATCAGAGCAGGCGATTTGAGAGTCCAGTTGCAGTAATTTATCTTGATGAGAACACAGCTGATGCCACTTCCACAGATGAAGTGTCCACATAAAAGGCAAAGGAAATCCAAGCACTGGTAGGCACAGTCATGCTTGTTCTTAATCTTGTGTGCGTGGCTCTTTTGGCCGCATCAACTGCTCAGTCAGGTAAGAAAAAA